CAAAGTCATGTAGAAAAATCCCTATTTCATATTGAAGAAATGAGGAGTCATTAAGCACATTTAAATAGAAAAGTACTGTGCCTTAAAGAGATTAATCTTTAACAGTATTCAGATTGGACTTAATGTGGAAGAAGGAATGGATGAGGGATCAGTTTGCAATTTCCTAGGTAAAAGACATGAATAAAAATAAGTTGAAAAGTTATGAGTGTAATGACTAAATTGCTATATAGTAATAAATTATGAATGTAGATCCTGTTTGCATCTGATAACCTTTATAATAATTAACAATCCTTAACCCTAATTCACTTTTACCTGAATCTATAGTGACCTCTTTCGTACCAAATCCCCTGGAAAGAAAGAAACTCTTCCATAAAAAACTGAAAAGTCAAAGAAAGACAAAGCTTCCCTTTTTCTCCAAAGAGTAACCTGTTATTGTGAGTGAAGCAAACTGTTAATATGCAGGCTGTCACGTTCTTAATACTTGACACACTTATTTAAGAATGTAAGGATGTTTGCGTAGGATAAACCACTGACCCAAGGAAGATATTACAGCAGTGGAAACAGCCATTGCCTATGCTTAGGAGAATCTCTGACCCTTTCTTTGAGAAATAAGGAAGTTACCTGAGGGGATGGAGAAGAATCTAATTTATGGACAAGACTGGAAAACAATAAAATAAAATGTTCTCAGTTTCCAGAGAGAAGATTGATGCTATGAGAAAAGATGGGTTGAGAGCTTCTGGAGAGTAAGATTGATCTTAGCTTCTATGTTAAATGGTTAATTTTAGGCCCTGCTGAAACATGGAGGCTGACTAGAGCAGCGAAGAGGGCATGAGGACAGCATGTAACCTCCTAAACTTTATAGAGAAATATAAAAACAATGTCAAAACTATGAGAGAGATATCAAGAGTATCTTAATCCAGCTATATCTATTTATTGTGCAACCTATGTCAGGTTTTTCAACAGAAAAAACAATATTTTAATCAAGGTAAATTTTATTTTTAAAAAGCAATTGTTCATAACTTTGGCTGATAATTGATTTGTTTACTTCCGTTAAAGTTATTTGTCCATGGCGATAACTGAACCTTGGAATTCACAGTAAATATTATCTATCTATCTATCTATCTATCTATCTATCTATCTATCTATATATATATATATATAATTGTGAGATTTGAAAATGAGATCAAAACAGAAACTTTTTCTATTTGGCAATCTTCCAGTGTTCTGCCCTTCAACAGGATCTCCACATTTTTTTCTTTCTCTATTCTTATTTCTCTCAACCTCACCTCTTTCCTGACAAGCTTCAATCATCCTGTTAGTGGTTGGAAAGCAATCATCAGATTCCTGGGGATAAGAAAACAGCTATAACCTAGTTCAGAACCAAGGACAGGGGATAACCCGTTCCTCATATAGTTCTATGAGAACAATCCTGCAGAGAACTTGAATCACCAGAGAAGAAAGGGAACAAAGAAGATGAGTATCACTTTTCCCAAATTATCTTTTCCTAATCCCCACCACTGTTTTATCAATTTTCCTGAATTTAGGTGCCGACAAGGCTGGTACTAGAAAGAAAATGATACAGAAGACTTAAAATGCTCCTCAGCATGCAACCAATGGAACTTTGACTACAAATGTCCAGGGAAGGGTGAACTTACATCATATGCAATCAAAGCAGAGAAGAAGTATCATTCTAATTTCAAAAAGTGATTTATATTTGGATAAGGTACTTGTATGACTTCATTCACTATTTATTCAAGTGATTTATCGAATTGACTTTTCGGATGCTGAGTAAACACAGGCATGTATCATTCAGATGTCCCTCAGAGAAAATCTCCTTAAAAGAATGTAGCTGGATGACAGCCTTCAGCTACCACATCACATGGTCATTAATCCCATGGCCACAGTCCTCAAGCTTCTCCCAATGAATGAACATGGTGGAGGTAATAAAAATGACCATTTATGCTTAATCTCTAACAGGAGATCTTTTTTCTAGGACTCCCCAGTGGTCTAACACTTTCTTGTAGCCTCATTTTGGTCAGTTTAAGGTTTTTCACACCCAGTCCTTCCTTCCTTCCTTCCTCTTTTCCTCACAGATGTCAGACTCATATCATGGTCCAAAGTCTCTTCTTGCCTACTCCTGCTGTCTCTCCACTTTATCTGTGAGATGTTTCCTCCAAAAAGAGCTCTTGTGCTTCTCTAATATTTTAGTGTGTGCTTCTAGTAGGACTCTTAGCTTACATATATGACAAAAGTTACCAAACTCCTGTAAAACCAGGAGGAAGTGTAAAATGTTAAATTTAACGATTTCACTTAAATAAACATCCTTACAGCCTTCTCTTTCTCTCTCTCCCCGCCCCTTCCCCTCTCTCCCCCACTCTCACGCGCGCTCTCTCTCTTCTCTCTCTCTCTTCCCCACTTCCTCCCTCCCTCCCTCTCTTTTGGTCATCTTTTTTCTCTACATCTCACAACTCCTTTTCCAGAACTGGTCTAATTTTATTGTGACAGATGGAATAGAATGAACTTTGGCATGTCTTTCCTAGCAACATTTACAAGAAATGTACAGAGAGATGAGCAGAAATGAGAGAGCAACATTGTTAACTCCATTATCTTGTTTCAGTGTGTATGGACTTTTTCATTGACACTTGAGAAAGGGGAGAGAATGACAAATGTGGTTTGGCTCTGAACTGATTAGGGACATTGAAGGTAGAGGAGTGAAGGTTGTAGTAACATTGTCATGAAGAAGCAATAACACCCTATTTTGAAAGTCTGCTCCAGTCTCAGTTTTCCAGGATGACAGAAGTTATAATACTTACAATTATAGTAATATACCATTTTATTGAAAAATAATTTTAAAATATGTATAGAAAAGTGAAACAGGAAAATCTTTCTGAAAAAGGTTGTGATTGAAATCTTTACTTAAATGTATCCTTCAAGATTTTTCAAGAGGCAATAAGCATTCATATAATGGCATATTCTCTTAATGACTGAAAATTATCACCCCTTTCCAATACCATCATAATTCCTAAATCTTTGAAATAGACAGTTTCTGGGAAAATAATGTGGAAAGGATTTATTCAAAATGCAAAGACGACCTATTTTAGCAAGACATTGACACAGCGTGCACTTAACGAAAACATGGGAGTAGATTAATTCTGTTGCTTTGACAATAATACAAGTCCATATTCAGATTTGAGTTAGGAAAGCAAGTTGTTAGGAAGTGATGGATGCCATGGGCAAGGAGGAGTTGCAGTAACTTAAAGGTCATAAACTCAGATAAGCTTCCAAGATCATGCCACACATTTTTTTAAAATTAAATTGGAATTTAACTTAATTATTTTCTAAGAGAACTCGACAAAATAAATGAAAAGCTATCATTTTCGAGTAAATTTAAAGAGACCGTGTGTATAGGGTAGGGATGAGAAAAGTAATCTATTTGTTACCTGAATTTTCTATGGATAATCTAGATCAATCTTTTACCACAGCTGGTTTTCATAACATATTTAAATCACTGTGACATTACAATTGGAATGTAATTCTTCACATATTTATTTTTAGGATATTAAAAAGTTTATCGACATAACATCTTAATTACTTTTATTCAGGAAAAATAAAAATGGCATATGTCATTTTTAGGAGCTTTAAATTTGAAATTTTACATGTTTAATTTAAAATAAGTAACATGGATGTATTTAACAAGACTCATTTTTGAAGAATGAAAGTAGTGTAAAACATAACTGAAACTATTTTTGCCTTAAAAAACCCCAAAAACATGCATCTGAATTTTGCTTCTATTTATATTATACACAAACATGCTAAAATGTCAATAATTATAAGACAGTTAATTTTTCTGTTTATACTTTGCATAAGCTTTGGTCAACACATACTTTAAAAAATCTATTATATATTTGCTCCAGTATCATTTATAGTAATGATATCTAGAGATACTCTTGAAAAATCAATTAATAAAAAATAAACACATGAACATTATTTAATAATGATGTATTTAAAAATATTTACATCACTTAGAAATAATGAAGTGGAAAGTTTTCTAGGATATGTTGTTAGACGATGGAAAAGAGAAAAGGAAAAATGAAACCATAAGTTGCACATCTGATACGCCACAGTGATTAAGATCATGGACTCTGCAACTAGACTAACTGGGCTTGAATACTGATTTTGTCACTTGCTAGCTGTATGAAGGGAAAGTTAAACTAATTTATCCATAGGTTTCCTCATTTGTAAAATGGAAGTCGAAATAGTACTTACCTCATAGGGCCATTGTAAGGATGAAATTAGTCATTATAATGACACAATTGTAACAGTACTTGCTACAAAGTCAGCACTAAATTAGTGCTTGCTTATTTACATATAAAATAGCCTAATTTATGTTAAGTGCACAAAGCTACTATTTTATATTAACATAGATATGTATGCAAGCACCCAGAAAAAGGCCTATAGACATACATGTCAAATTGATACTAATATATAACTGTAGGCATTAAAGATGATCCTCTGCTTTGAGTATTTTACATAAAAACATAATTCATACATTATTTTTTGAGATTAAATTTTAAATACTTTTATCCATCCATTAAATGAAACTATAAAAAAACCCTGGAGATTACATTAACTTATTAAAACAGAAAAATCTTCAAATACATATCATTAAATACAAACAAGCAGATCAAAAGATAGTATTAACTATTTAAATATAAACCCGTTTATGTAAAATGTGTTGGCATTTATATACGGAATAATAATAATGGCTAATCTGGTTAAGTGATTTCGACTTCTTTATATATAGATACATGTTCACATAACTATACATATATACATCTATATATTATTTTTTAAAACACTATAAGATCTACTTTACTGTAAAAGAAAAAGCAGCAGTGAAGCTAGTTATAGCATCATGCAACATCTTGCATTCAAAATACATATGTTGAGAGCACAGCTAAATACCATCAAGGAATGAATTAGATTATGAATGTACTTACCCACCAAATGCCTGAAGTGCAGAGAATTTGGAAGCATCTAAATCATTGCCACTTACTATTCGAGCCTTAAATAAAAAATGAGAAAAAACAAAACAAAACAAACAAACTTTTAGCATACCATAGCTGTGTAGAAAGGAATTTGGGACATGGGTCAACTGCACTAAACACATAACACCTAATATGACAAATGCTAAGCAGGGTCAGCTCCAAGTCAAAGCTATTGTGTTGTGAGTAGAAGTTTTAAAATTAGCTGTCGGTATTTAAACAAAAACACTGGAAGAGTCCAGGAAAATATATCACATTTCAAATACTATTTGCCCTTAAAACTTGATATGTGCAGTGAAGATCATGAATAGTCAAGGAGATCATGATTAGCCAGACTTAGGAACAGATGCAGAGTTTGACAGTAGCAGACCCCTAGATTGGCAAGTGTAAGCTAAAGTAAGCGCAGCTGGCAAGGTGTAACCTCTTCATAAATGCAACATATTGAGGGCACACTTAAAGGACAACCAAAGAATGGAAAGCTGGGATAACATGCACATTTCACAACTGAAACAGAGGAACCAAAACAGGTCTGTCACAAACAAACATATACAAAAGACAAGGTCCCTCAGGAGGGAAGAAAATGTATGATTTAAAACCTTTTCATCCACAGAACTGCTATCTGAAAAAGAATCAGGAAAAGAAGGGATAAATGTTAGATGGAATACTTTTCAAGAAATCATTTAAACATATACATGAACAAAGTGTTACTGTTACATTATTTTAAATCATAAGGGAACAGAATTTCAAGGCTGCATTCCAAGGGAAGAGGATTAGTTGGTCATCATAATTTAAAAGAGCCGAAAAATGTGCCAGAATGCTTGAAAAGTAGCAAATGGTGACTACAGGATTTAATGAAAGACAATGTGTCATACAAAGAACACAGTTGAAGAATCAGAAGTAGTAGGCTCCAGCTGAGGCTTGCCCACATACTAAGCACATTGGGAAACCACCAAATTTTCTAGTCCAGACCTAACTCTTAAATAAGGTCTCTAACACTTTGCCCATTTGCCTCCAAATATTGTTAAGAGGGTCAATTTAGATCAATATATGTAAAAGTAAACCTCAGATGACTATATAAACTAAACATGTTTTATTAAGGAATTATTTATTTATGCTTCTCATATCATAAAACTTAAGAGCTGTAAGACTTCATTTTGCAAATAAGAAAACTGATGCCTGAATGGGTTAAGCGATTTATGATCACAAAAGTAGTAAATGGCAGAAGTGGGATACAAATCCAGCACTCCGATCTCTCATATGCTGCCCTTTAGATACACTTTCAGATGAGTTGATCAAAACAGAGAGAGGTGGCTAGTGTACAGATCTCCAGTGCAATTTATGATGAATCATAGGGTCAATATTTCTCAGTTTTAGTTGCTCATGGGACCAATTAGATGAACAATGGACTAATAATTTTTTTAAAACTCAAATCTAAATCTGCCAGGGTCATCACAGCATGGTCTATCTTCACCTTACATATCACTATCGTTCTTAAACTTATTAATTCAGCTTTGCTTATTCACATAAAGCTAAAGGGACTTCTCTATGAGTACGAGTTGACAGAAAGCTAGAGCTGGAGTGACCTTGGGATTCATGTCATCCAAACACCTCACTTTTATAGATTAGCCCCAGAGAGATAAAGATTTGTCATGTAGGTCATGTAGCTCAGTGATGACCTTTATTAATGGAAATTTAAAATGTATTTAAGTATAATTTAAGTATGGATTAATTGCTATAACTAAATATTTAAGAGCTATATCTCAGGGTTATATTTTTTTTACTATAAATCAGGGTAAAGCAAAATATAAATAAAAGATCAATCTCATTTAGGGCCCAAAATATTTTTAAATACTAAATAAAATGTAGAAAATAAAATGCAGCATTATATCAGAAGAATATATCATATCCATAAATCTTTTATCATAAGCATGATTTAAAAATTGTGGAATAACTAATTTAATATGTCAACTGGTCAGAAAATAGGCATCTGCATTTCATTAGGTTCCAAAAAGTCACCTGATACAAATTAAAACTCTATTTTCTAAAACAGGAAAATTTATTCCAATTTTAAAGTTTAATATGTTAAAATCTTTCAGAGTCATCAACTTCAGTGTGAAATATTAGGGCATGCCTATTATCACTAAAAGAAAAAAAATTGCCCACTACCACAAATTTAACTTATTTCTAGAAATTCTGACCAATATATTAAAACATATAATATTAAAAAAACAACATAAGTGTTAGAAGGCAAGATACAAGTTGCTTTCAAGAATTAGAATTTTAAACTCAGAAAATCAAAAAACATCACCTGGAAAACTGTTAGGGCAAATAGTTATCGAAGCGAATATATATAACCAACACATGAACAAAATAATAGTAGTAAGTTATTTCCCACGTACTTACTATCACTAACTTGGAAAACAATGACATGAGATCTGATTTCGAATATTCAATACTTGGCATTGCCTGTCTGCCATGTATAATTGGCGTCTATATCAACCATCCCACTGAATAAGGTAATCCTAACAAAGCCATCTATTTTCCAGCTGCCAAAACTGACCATACATTTCAAGTTTTTCATTGACTGATTCATTCAATATTTTATTTATTCATTGAAAACAGATTTTTAATTATCAACAATTCCTTTTTGTTCACTTCTACTCCTTTCTTGTCCATTTGCTCTCTTTTCCCCTTTGAAACCTTTCTAAAGTACAGATACCATCACATCTCTTCTCTTTTTAAATTCACCAATGTTACCCAATACCCACATGAGAGAATATGAGATTCACATCTATTGCAGGTTCATAGCTCAGTCCTCATTCACACCCCACACTTTGGCCACAATTAAGTTCTTGCCTTTTCATCATTATGCCATGATCTTTGATACCTGCGTGCCTTTGGA